ACTTTTTATGATCATACCTTATAATAAATAGGAGTGTCAACTTTATATTTCAAATGGTAACATACATATTTAATTAACTTATAAAATAGAAAATTATCTATTTAAGAAAATGACTGGTTGATAACAACTTATGAACAAGTACTTTGGATGTTATTCTCGGTTTTATACCTATGTGAGACGAAGAATACGGTTGGGAAAAGACTAGTGCTAAAAATAGCAGCATCCACTCTTTACCTCCAATCATTACTTTAAATCACTTCTGAAATACTGGTCCAAATAGTGTTATCGACCAATTTTCTTGATTAGATTATGTTCTAATTTTAAGCTAGCTAAAAATGTGTGTTGCCCATTAAAAAAATAAGTTGGGACTCCTTTGAGATGTAAGAGGTCATTCTAGAAAGTAATTATTATCTGATTAATTAAAAATTAATTATATGTAATTAAAAAAAAAAAAAAGTTATTTTTTCAATATTGTACTTATTTTGCGGATAATCAAGTTGTTTATGATATACCGATCACTCTGTACACTTGTATACAGAGTGTTCAGTAAGTAAGAAAACATATCACTTGTTGTGAGCAATGACAACAAAAGAAACCCGTTTCCTGATTCACTGAACATTCTATATAATTATATATCAAATTATATAAATAAAATTAATTTTACATTTATTTCTGATATTTTTTTATTACCAAAGAAGGGGCCCGGGTGAAATTAAGTGAAAGGGTATATTAAGGAGCAAACATAAAAACAAAGTATTTTTGCTAAATATCTATTAATTAATATTATTAATTAATAATAATATATCAATTATTATTGTTAAATTATCTCAAATTTTAAGTTTTTATCTTGAACTTATTCTCATATTTGTCTATAATAAGTCAAAGCAGCTTAAAAATAACAATTAAAAATTATTTACTTTATCTAAATACTCTAGTCAAGTGAATATTTAAAGTTATTTCAACAAAATATATTTTATTTAAAATATTAAAAACTGACAATATCTCTTTTTCATGCAAAGAAACTTATTTCCTCAGACACAGTTAAAATAATTGTTTTTTTTAACAATAAAAGACATCGAAAATAAAATTTAATTTATGCTATAGACTATAAATTCTTTAATTAATTTTATTAATATTTCTTGTTATTTCCGTATTGGTTTTTAGCTTAAATTACAGTTTTAACCTGGCGATTTATAACTATTCACTTTACTCAAACCAATTTTTATTTTTAAGTTAAACATTTACAACTATGAATGCAGTTGATGGATTATACTTGGATCTTTAAATATATGAAGCCAATAACTGTATAATTACTATTGTATACTAGAAATAGAATTCTATTAATTATTTTATAAAAAAAAATAAAATAAATAATTTATCTTCATAATACATTTTTATAAAAATGATGAGTTTTCGAATAATAATTATTAATTGTATTATCTCACATGGTAACTAAATGGTAGACCGACTAAGTTAACCCACCGTATTTTCAGTCTGTGTTTTCAAAATTCATTTAGTCTTTGAAATATTATTATTATTATTATTCACGTTACCCGGATATCCTCCATTTCTATAAAATGAAAATTTTGTTTAAATTATTTACAATCAATTAATAATTTATTTATATATCATTAGAACAAACGCTCGTATGGTTATAGAATACCGACGAAATAAATATCCTAATCTAACTGACAACAAACATCATTTTTGTTACAATTAACATTTAGTTGTGATTTAAAAAAAATACGTGTGCATTCTTAGACAACGTTAGAACTATATATTATTATCAAAAATGATTAATTGGCCGATAACAATTTTATGATCAGTAATTATCGAGTGACAAACTTTTGATACACTAAGTGGGTATGAAACGCGCGGAGGAGTCAACTTGTGCTAATGTATATTTATAACACATACTGCACTTGTGTTATATACCTGCTCTAAGTATTAAAATAATTAATAATAATTACTTGTCCTAAATTTTGCATCGACTCATTAATCATTTTTATAAGAATAGTACTAAAAATTGACCATTTTAAAATTTAATTTATTATTTTAATGTAGTCAAAAATGCATAAATTATTTAAAGAAAAAATCACTTTATTTTTTTTAATTTTTAGGATTCAATAAGATTATAGGCGTTTGTAAATAACATTTTTGGAACATTAAACGGTAATAAGTCCAGAATTTCTGGGATATCAATGTCTGAATTTATTAATTTTTATATGCTTTTAACACAATAATATTTTCTAATTAATAAAGCGATTCATTTTAAAAATGGTTGACTATTAAATTAAGTGCTGAATCTATCTTATTACTTTTGTTAGCAACTAAAAGTAAAATTTGATTTTGTTCACCATAATAATAACATAGAAAATTTAAGTAATTATTTACCGGTCGTGCAACCTTTAAATAATTTTTCTGTTGATAAAAAATACTTTGTTTTTCTATGAATTTTATTTACATGACTGAATTTCAATATTGAATATTAAATTGGTAATGTTTTTGAGTACACAAACAGAATGCATACGTATTAAACATACATATTTCTTTTTATCTTATGAGACTAGGTTGTTTTTTACATAATAATAAAATTTTATATTTATGTATATATATTTATATGAGTTTTTACCTATTGTTCTTGTAACAAATAAAAAAGCATTTTTATAATCATTTTATACACGCAATGATTTCATTTGAAATCAGTTTATTTATCGAATTCATTTACAGAAAATATGGTTATAAAGAAACTTAAATTGTGAAAATTGTCAGTTTGAATAGAATAATAGTAAAGCATTTAAACATATAACAGCTACTGGGTTTGATTTTACGGGAGTGTATTGTATATAGTTGTACAAAAATAAATTAATTCGCGTTTGGTTAGGCTTTGTACTGTATTTTTATTATAAAAACAATAATTAAAACGTGAATTTTGAACTTATACATTAAGCCATAAACAAACCGAGAACGAAATATTTCTGAATTTTACCGAGTATAATTGTGAATAAAATTGAGTTTTGAGTTTAATTTAGGCCATATAAAATTAACCTAATCAAATGATGAGCAGAAACGTTAAACTTTATTTAACTGGCAAAACTAATCAAATAAATTAAGTGCTTGGTTTCATATTGTTGCCATAAACATTAAACTTAAAATTAACATTCATAGGTTTAGTAGTAAATTAATAAATTTGTTGAGATTATGTTACATCATTAAAAGTTAAAACAGCTTCATGATGAGTTTTTGGCTTCATTTTCGTCAATCATTAAAGGTTAAATGAAAAAATACTGTGGAAGAATTAACATGGTAAATTTCTTGCTTAAAATTTCTCGCTCATATTCATTTTGACCTAACTCAAACGATCATTACGGTGGGATAGAAAATAAAACGATATATGTCATGCGAACTTGCATTATACTTCTGTCCTCATAACAATATTGCTAAGTTCGCAAGACTATTTCAAATAGTACAGCTGGATTAATATCAATAAACGTACAAAATAAATTTTGTATTATCTGACAGCTGCGTTGTAATTTCCACTCATGATTCATTATATTTTTTTCTACGATTTACTTTAATAATATTATAATTTTGTCACGCTGTCTTTAAGAAACATGCAATACTTACATTAAGATTTAATATAAATAAAAATTAATCTCAAAGAAAAACTTTAACCACAACTAACTGAAAAATAAATGAGAACATTTATTGGCCAGATGCATTACAGAACCATCTGTTATCATGATGTGTTGATACATATAATTTTTCAAAATATTGCACGTCTCTTATCCTTAGCAACTAAAACGAAAAAGAAAAACGTGACAAAGTACTTTTATGACACTAAAAACACCTAATAAGCATTACAGGATTTTAAGTTTATTTATTACTTGTCATCTTTGTGTAACCTTTAGAATTTCCAGGAGAAACTATTACCATGTTTTTATAGTTAAAATAGTAGGAGTTTATGACACAAACAAATTTTAGAAAACGTACTTACAACGACCTTACAAAGTGGTATATATTTTCTTCCATCAAATAGTTATTATGTTTACAGATTTCGTTATATTATATTTGTTTCCTTATACGAGTTAAATTTCACTTTTATAATAAAAATGTTTATTTTATTCGTTAAATAATAAATTAATGAGTAATCAAATATTTTTTTTAATATTCTATGTTATTGTACATTTTATCTTTAAAGAATTTTGTTACTACTCGAAACTTAACTATAGCTCTCTGCTTAGGTCGTTGAAATATTCCAGTTATATTTATTATTTACTCAATTTTCAGAATTTTATTATTTTTTATTAAGAAATTTGAGGACTTCTTCGTTTTTTTTCTGATTTTGGTCCTAGTGAGATGTTGAGGTTGTAGTCGATAAGTTTGGTAGTTAAAATATTTTATAACTATGTGCTTAACTGTGAGTACTNCTGATTTTGGTCCTAGTGAGATGTTGAGGTTGTAGTCGATAAGTTTGGTAGTTAAAATATTTTATAACTATGTGTTTAACTGTGAGTACTACTGAACATGATATGCATCGTGGCGGGTCTCTTTTGGACATTAGTAATTAATGTGTGAGTCTGTTATATTCTGTTATATGTAGATGGTTTATGATTTTTTTGTTATTCTTTATAGGTTGAAGGTTTCTCATTTTACCACAGTATTTCTTATGGGGTAAAATTCAGTATATTATTGTTTCCGTAGTTTTTTCCATTTTTCGATTGTACNAGAATTCAGTGTATTATTGTTTCCGTAGTTTTTTCCATTTTTCGATTGTACTAATTCTGATAATTCTGTTAATATCGTAATTTATTACTTGATTTTATATTTCTACGTTTGGATTGTTAGCGGCCATTTTTAGCATATTTATCAGCAATTTTGTTGTCAGTAATCTCAATATGTCCAGAAATCTAAAGAAGTAGTATCTGTTTGTTTTTAATTTGGTTTCATAATTTTCACTATTATATTGATGTTATTTCATTGTTTGTTTGTTCTTACAGAGATTGATCCATTCTACATTGATACGTTAGCATCATGCAACCATGCGCTATCAGTGTGCGAGTCATCAGCAGACTGCTTGAAAACATTCGAGGACTTTAAGAACAGTTGCAAAGTTGGCAAAAACAATACTTGCGAAGCGCTCAACCTGTAAGTACTTTCAGATATTTATGCATTATCAAAGGTTCATCATTAGTTCACTACCGTGGCCAATATGTTTATTGTTAACGTAATTTTACTGAATCGTGACTTCCGTTTGACTTTATTTAATGGAATTTCAATTAAAAAGTAAACTTTTGGTTGATGAAAACTCTAACAATGCTCAAATATGATAGGGAATGAATGCGAAATAATTATGAAGTGTATTATCATAATTGAAGTAGCTACAATCCATCATGTATACTATGGAATAATGGAATTAAGATACACACACTTAAAGTAATATATATTATATTTACTTAAACATTTTCCATTATTATGAAAAGTATATATTTTAATTAGAAAAACTTTATGTGGTGATGCTTATTCAAAGTTTGAATGAAATTTATTGTACGATTGCGTTACACTTTGTAATGCGATGAATAGGTACCTCCTTCATTTAATTTTTTTATTATATATTAATATATTTACATTAAGTTTCTAATGTTTGAACCGTTTGCGGTTTACACTACAGTGCTTATTATATTTTTCGTGTTCATGATGAGGTGCTGTGTTATGTTTGAACGAATGGAGGCCTCATTTATGTATACACTCATTTGTCCTGCACCTCTAAATGCTTTGCTCATCAAATTACTAGGTATTGGTTTCCCTTGTTTCATTAAACCTTACCTCTAAAAGCTAGCCAAAGAGTTGCCATTATACCGTCGTGTTTAATGTCAGATTTTAATGCAATGTTCATTTAAGTTGCTAATACTTTATCTTGTTCCTTTTCATAGAAATGGTCTAATGTAGAACCTTTATGTAATTCAGTAGCGAATTTATCTTTAAGTTTTTCCGCTAGAAATTGTCCAAAATTGCATGTGATACAAATTGATCTGTTTCCTTATTTACCGAACACTCTGTTTAATAATAATGATAATATATAATCATATACTTATTTGGGGAATAATGTTACTTTTATCAACTCTAAACACATACAAGTAATTGAGTTAAATATTTTTAATATAATTTTAATTTTAAATAATATTAGCCATATGTGTTCAATTTTTATTATGTACATCATTAGTTCGAAAAAAAAACTAATCAGCTTTTTACACTTATTTTACCTTAATTGATTTTCACCAAAAATGTCACTTATTTTTTTTTATTACTTAAATTTATATATACTACTGAGAAAACATTTTATGAACTTAATACAAAATGTTTTATCTTAATCTTCGTAAATATCTTAATTATGATAAAACAGCTTGCAAATCTTAACATCAAGATAATATTTTTAGTTTAGTATTTTCTTTTTCGCCAGAAGTATTGATTCTGAGAATATTTTAGCCTAAGCATTTTTAACCCTTCAATGTAGATGTGTCCCGTGAGACAACAGATGCATTGAACGGCTACATTTGTGCGATTTGTTATGGACTTGGTGTCTTCAAAGGGATAGTAAAGTATTGGTATACATGGGATATAAGGTCCTTCTACATTATTCAAAACGGAGTTCGTCTTGCCCAATGAAACCAATTGATAAAATTTAAGCCTTTGGAGATACACAAGTTTATATTTATATTAGGCTACTTTTCAAATTAACCATTCATAATTATTATCCCTTTTAAATATACCAAGAGTAATTTTAACGAAAAATATAAAGATACAAAAATTTAGTAATAATTTTATTTTAAACACATTACTTGGTGAATTTTTTTAAAAATTATACTCTTACAGCAAGATGAAAAACCTCGATGTAATAAGAAACCGACTTAACATAATTCTGCCTTAACATTATAATTCTCTACAACAGTCATTTAATGTTATTCACCGAATATGACTAAATTAATATTAATATTACTGTAATATTGAACACATCAAACATACAAAATATTTAAATTAAACATATTTTTTTTTCCATTACCTTATATTCTTTACCACTATTAGAAGTTATTTTATTTGAAGTTGATGGGTAATATATATGTTCTACCATATAATACATATAGTTCTTAACTCAATAAAATTCACTTTGGTTGTTTTAAGAGCAAATTTGATTTTCTGGGTATAATATTTTACACTATGGATAAAAAAAATATCTTTATAAAGCCAATACCTTACTCGCAGAAACTTAAATCTGATAAATTTAAAAATTTTATAAAAATTACCTTAAGGATACTTATAATAACATATTTATTCAGTTTTTATATATAAAAGAGCACTTTAAAAAGAACAGAACTAAGTTTATGTATGATGTATTCACATTAATATAACATGACGCTATTTTTTTATGATTACAAGTATCGTAATGTATTGAAATTTTATACGTTTATTGTAGATAGTTGTATAGGAACATTCAAATGATATATCGTAACTTTGTGTGTTTGACAGCCTTGTCTTTATATTAACATAAAACGGATACATGCTCAGCGACAGTTGAGCAAATACATAATGCAATGGTAAAAGCGAAAAGCATGCTAAAAAATTCATCGGTAAAGAAATAGATATTATCGTGGGGACGGTTAAAAATGATAATCTTTTAATGTAAACATGAATCGTTTTACTATAAAAAAAATTTCATTGAAATTTATTGATATTACAAAAAAGAAAATTAAAGTTGACACTTATTTAGTATTTTTAATATATTATGATTATTTTTCAGGGAAGACTGTCATCAAGATTGGATCCGTTTAAGAAAAACTCCTATCTTTGGATGTATATGTCCACAAAACCATTTAAAAAAGAGATGTGATAGAATATTTTCTATGGTAAACGAAAATTCGTGCATAGGTATATATATATTACTATACTATTAAACATATATAAGCGGTACAGGATGAATTAATTAGTTAAATATAAATGTTTTATAATCATTTTTATTATAATTGAGTTCAATAATAAATTATCAAATATAATACGTAGCTTTAGATTTCTAAACTATTCAATAATTGATTTTTATTTATTGCAAATGTTCAAACAATCATTATAAAAATCATATAACGATATTATAACTAGATTTATAAAGTTCTATAATGTATTAATACCATGCAACTATTAGGACCTTGAATACCTTAGAAACAACAATTTTTGTTATTAAAGGACTAACGGAACGTCAGTTAAGCGTTTGATAGAAATTGTAATTTTTTATTTTCAAGTAATTAATAGTTTAGCACGAATAACAAAACAAAAACAAAATTCATTCTAAATGAACAACAACAATAATTGTTATAACTTCAATATTGTAAGCGAGTTGTCGAGTTGTTTTTGTTTAATTTTCAAAAACAAAACTTTGTCTTGAAAAGTCTACATAGTCCTTAGTTGTACCAATTATAGCTTTCATTTTTTATATAAACAGCCTACGGCGCGTCGAGCTTAGGAAAGTAAAATATTTTCCCTTTATTACGGTTGTTATGTTTATTCCATAACCACCAAAATAGTCAGTAAATGATCACCTCAACGGCGCCGGTCGACAATGTTTTACTCGAAAAAATTAAAGTGCTAATGGTACACAGCCCACTGAGGTTGTCTAAATTCTACCCCATCAGCTCAAGACCAACGCGCAACATAAAAATAAAGCGTCAAGCTAAATAATAATTGTTCCCAGAGGGAAATTATTCTTGTAAAGTGGACATTTTAACTATAAAGAGTTAAAACAATACATAGGTATATTTTAGAATCATTACAATTGTTACAACTTATTCAAACTGTAATAATTCTCTTTTTTGGGACAACGCTGTATCTTTTAATCAACCTTAAGAGTAAATAAATTAAAAACTTTTTTTGGCAAATGTCTTACCTTTTATAGAGCCAATAGTTGAAGTTGTAACTTTTTTAATAACCTTGAAAACATCGTTGCTGAAAAGTTAATATGTTACAGATCTTATTTCAAAAAAAAAAAAAGTAATAATAATAATTATCTGAAATTTGCAGGAGAATGTTTCAAGTTTCTAAAATGACGGAAAATATCTTCAAACACAAGTCCATTAAAGATAAATTTGTAAACATAAAAATGTTTAGTCCTTACTGGTTATAAACCGTCCGACCATAATCGATAAAATAAATATACCTATTTCACTGTATTTCAAATATGACTTCTAAAGATTAACAATATAATTTAATTACCGGTATTGAATTAAAAAGGGTTCAATGATATTTGTGGGTTATTTACAACCACTTAATCAATTTATTCGATAAATTACATTATTATCTCACCGAGCCGTTACTAATTTTCGATTTTCAAACATACTTTTGCAAATTTCATACAGAATTATTAATAGTATATCCAAATAATTTGAAAAAAAATAGATTTAAAATAACATTATGTGTTCCACAGGGCATTACAGATCCTGTTCAAATACATTTAACAAATAAACTCCTTTATTACTCCGTAAATAGCAAATCGAATTGCCTTTGTGTAAATCATTTTATTATTTGTTCTGCACTCAATAACTTTTATTGGAAAAACAATTTTATTTTATGACGATGAAATTAAAATCTCGTTTTTTAACACAAATTCAAAATACTTAACGTTTGTTTACTTGTGTAACGAATAAAAAGTTTTATTATTTAATGAGTTATTGAAACAATATTGGCGTTCAAATATAATTCGAGTTAATATATTCTTTTGTTTTACACTCTTACTAACTACCGCCCGAACACACTACTTACGATGCAGTACATACTTATGTTCTTGTTACTCCAAAAAAATCGCACATCCTCAGTCGTTGGATTTATTTTTATTTGAAAACTAAATCACGATGTCATCGGGCGTAGTAGTATTTTTATGTTAGCGATTCGGAAAATCGAACAAATCATTTTCGTAGTTTAAATTTGCAACGTTTCTTCGGACCACAATCGAGTTTTAAACAAAAAATGTAAATTATTAAATTATTTAATCAGAAAATTTTTTTTTTTTTATTATTGTTTTCTGACACAATTGATAATTACACACAAAAACAAATGGTATTAGTGCGATTTTCCACGTGTTTTTATATTAGCGTTACTCAGTTTCGCATAGAATCAATTTACAGAAAATTGCTCGCAAAGACACATTTCAATTTTATAGAATTTTGATTGATCTATTGGTAATTTTCGTTTCGGGAAATATTGCCGTTACGTGCTGTTGCGCTGAAAAGTACACGGCGGTAAATCCATGTTGCTACCTCGAATGGATCTAATCACGCAAAACCCAACTGAAATAAATTCACATCGTTTCCTATTGGCTGAGAGTGTAGAAAATAAATATAAAAACGAAAAGTTTACGTTTATGGTGAGTGCCGACCCTATACGGTCGTTGCTCGGTCGAAATAATCGAATTATATGTAGTCGGCTGCGCATGAAATTACAATTGGAAAGCAAAACCCACTGGCTTAAACGAACGCAGACAGCCTAACGCGCACAAATAACCAAAAGTAATGAGCACCCGAAAAGTGTATAAAAGTTTTGATAAATTTGTGTTGCGTTTAAATGTTTTTCCACTAACTTCCAAATTATTCAAGTTTAAACTACAGAGAACTTTATGAAGAATTAATAAAAATCAACGAGGATCGCAGATCTTAGGGAATTTAAATCGACTCCTTGACCAAATAAACCGACATTTTAACAGCGTTCACGGTTTATGGTTAATAAAGTTCATACACAATCTCCCGTAGTGTTCATTGCTACGTTTATCATTAATTCAAATATCAGATTCACGTACACTCTATACTTTTATGATTTAATTCAATTATTTTTCGACACAAAAAGTTAACGATACATTTTAATTGTCTAACAATCTTATTGTTGTAAAAAAAAATGTTATACACATTAACGCGAAAGTCGATCGAGTCGAATAAGTATAGATTTCTATAGAAAAAATGAAAAAAAAAATTTTTTTTCTAGCTTTTTAAATTTATTGAACGTAATTTAAAAATAAATTCAGTTTTAAAAGAGTAATTTTCCGCAAAGATAATTAATTATTCTCTTTGTGGTGGTAAATAACATACGAGATCATATGTAGCTCTTAGTACTGTTAAGGGATTTTATATCCTTTCCGGTTGATTACTAATTTTCCAAAATTTTGTTTACTTTACATTCTTTGCCTTAGAGACCTTACGTCACATTGGTTGACAAATGATGTGAAAAACTTTATTAACGAATTCGATTGAATAAAGTAAAATATATACTTTCAATATGAAGCAATCCCATGGCATTTAATATTCACATATGAAAATTATTTTCACTCTGACTTTAATTTGTCATATAGATAAATTTTTGAATATAAATTATAAAACGATATAAGAAAATATAACTTTAACTATTAGATAAATACATTCTATTAATAATTCTCCAATATAGGTTTATAAATTGAATTGTATTAGTATGAATAATATAAAATTATTTGTAATATGAATAATTAAAATAATGAGTTTTAAATTTATTTTCTTTATGATGAATATTCATAACTGAAAACTGCTGATAAGCCTACACTTGTATAAACTCTGTGAAAAACATTTTTCATCCGTTGTAAATAAATTACACCAGTTTTATCACACGAACGAAGCTGACAGAATTCAAAGAACAAAATTTCTCCTCCTTAAAAAACGCCAACAACTCAACTGAATGCGCTCTCGTGCATATGTGAAGACATATAACAAGCACTCTTCAATACTTTAAAACTATTATTTTTTAAATTATTCGTACGAATAAATATTTATTTACATTTGTTATTAATATACCGAGCAATTATCTTGCCTTTATTCAATATTTATTATCAAATTAAATATAATTGTTTTTCAAATAAATTATTTTTAATAAAAAAAATCAATATATAAAATATTTTCAAAAGACACTTAATACCTTATATTGTTAAAAACGATCACACTTTTTTTTACTATAACAATTTTTTTCTTAAGGTTAGAATTAGAGTACATCAAATTTTCTAACGCAGCCCGCTGGAAAAATCTTAAATTGCCCATAAGCCAATCTGCATATAATTTCATGATATTGTTCATTAAACAATTTGAAATATATTTTTTTTAATTTAGATCTGTATTATTACTGAAATGTCCATAAGAAAATTAGGTAAACGATTAAAAAAATTAATACTTTTGAGTATTCTTTTTTTGTACAAAAAATTGTTTGCCGTTGAAGATAAAAAAAAAAATTGTATCTAGTCCACTAGTGTAAGAAATAGCCAACCTTACAATTAGTATACATAAATTAGTCGGCTAAACGATATTGGTTCGATCGTTTAAGAGGCCTAAAAGCAGTAAAACTATTGTAGTATGTTTTTATTATTATGTGTTCCGGTAAAAAGTAACGCGAACGAGACGCACTTTTATTACTTGATTACTACAAAATTATTTTAAATAGTTTCAAAAAGTATGAATTTTGATTTTTTGACTAGCGTAATAGAAAATTGCATATTTTATTGTTTACAGTTGTATGGTATTTTTATGGATTCAAAAAAAGTTCGTTATATTTTACGTAATAAAATGTTTAGTTATCCACGAAAATAATACAAAGAATATTTGTAGATAAAATAAAATTATTGAATAATACTTACATATCTTACTTTGTATTGCAGGTCCCCAGTCGGTAGTGACTACGGACAATTCTATACTTAATTTCCAGAGCACTTGTCACGAAGCACTAGAAGCTTGTAACAAACATCCCGAATGTCAGGAAATGGTTGCGTCGGTAATTCGAAACTGCAATCAAAAACACTGCAGGAAGACAAATTGCATGGAATCGTTGCAGAGTTTCTATAGAAATGATTCTTTGCTACCTTTCTCTATAGAAATAGCGTTTTGTCTATGCAAGTGAGTGATTTTATGTTAAAAACATGCCAGTTATGGTACGATGTGATGAATAGTCACAATCATTCATTTCATTCCAATTCAATCAATTGGAAGAAACACTTAAATTAACTAACTCATAAAATAAAATTACTGTTTATGTAAAGCTTAACATTAAAAATATCTAACTAAACCATAAAGAATAATTTTTATATTGTTTATATACCAACAATTTTTTTTTTTTTTTTAATTTTAAATAGATAATTATAAATATATTCATCGTTTTTTAACGTAAATAATTTAGTAGTATTGTGGAATATAAAGTTAGCGAAAATAAGTTCTCTAAGATTATTTATATAACGAGAGCAAACATAAAAATAATTTGTGTTAAACGCGTCTAATATTTTTAAATTACAGTTTATACCAAATTGATACTTATTAGATATTAGAATAAATGTGTTGCATAATTAATGTACATACAGTTAATTTGTTCTTTTTAATATAAAAATGTTCACCAACATCAAGTTCAGATTGTTCATTACTGTTGCATGAGTAGGTCCGGGTCAAAAGGTCAATCGTATCTTGCAAAATAACCTGTAATACAATAATAGTTTTTGGATACTGTAAAATTTATCTCTAAAAATAAAACGTTCATCCCAAATCGTGTGAAGGTATCTTGAAAATATTTCAGTCGACCTCTATATAAATATTATTGATTAATAAGCTTAATCTGGACTAAAGCCTGAGGGGTACAACAAATGTGTAAAACTACAATAACAAGGTAAACATTAACAATAGCAACCTTTAATGACATCATGAAAATAATTTATATGTTAATTTAAAACTAAGTACATGTATTAATGGCCGGTTTACCCTCTAGATTTATATAAACATTAACTAAATTTTACTAATCAATAATGGTACAATGTGAGCAAATTTAATTTGATATGATATTGTGAATGGAGTCTTATTTTATATCTTATAACTTTGCGATGACAATAATTCTAATACAGTCAAATTTAATTATTTTCTATTCAGGAAAAATTATTCAAAAATAAAACGTGTAGTTAATTTTAATCAGAATTTATTTAACAAATGAGTATCGTTACTTTATTTTTATAAGAACTTGGATAGTTTGGCAAAATTAAAATATATTATCTACATAGTATTCAAAAAGTATGGAAACAGGTCAATTGTTGCAAACAATGAGATCAATAGAAACCCGTTTTTCATTCACTGAACGTCTTATATAATAAATATTATATTTTTCTTTTTTAGAAAATCTGGTGTTGACAAAGATAAATGTTTAATAGCTCAAGAAATGTTACATCCTGAATGCGCTCAGCGCGTTGATGGTCCAGCTAAAGTACCATGTCATTTTCTGGCTGAAACCTGCCGGACAAAACCAGAGTGCAGGTTGGTATACTTGTGCTATTACTTATGACTGCAGCACAATATTTTCTTTCTACTAGATGTGACCTAATACGTTATTTAATTTTGTATTGTAACATTTATAACATAAGAAAACCAGTGACAATAAAATAGTAACTTTTATATAAAGAAAAAGGCACTAAAACCATTAGGAATCAGTAATTTATTTTAAATAGTTATTTTAATTATAAAAATGTTGGGATTGTAACTAGTTTGAGAATTAACATTATCATTTAAATTAAACTCTACAATATAAATATGAATTAGTTAAAATCATTTTATTATAACTCCGAATAACTTTCATTATATAACATTTTTGTAGCTCGTTTTTTACTGCAAAAATTTACCCGTATGAATTCTTATACTTAATGGTATACGTGATTAAAGCTAATAAAACTAGAAAAATTAAAACTAAAACCGTCGCTTAGCACAAACCCAGTTTATTAATGTGCCACTTAAAAGCTTAAAAACTAGCAGCCCACCTGTATTTCATTGCCAAAAACCGTATACACGTGCAAACTGACCCTTATTTAGTCTCTTTTTTGTTTGACTTAATGCTAAAAAAAACATTGTAATATGAAAAAAATGAACTCTAGAATAGAACCTTAATATGAATTCTAAAGAATTTTATATTATACCAGTTGTAGAAAAACTATTTTAAATAATAATATTACTGACTCCAAGAATTATTTCAACTATTTCTTTGGTATATCATATAATCTTATCATATGGCAGTTAAAAATAATTGAGTAAAAAAAGTTATTTGGAACTCGCTTTTATTCGTAACACAATATGAAAATATTTTTCTGACGTATACTCTAGTAATGATCATTATTTTAGAAAAAAAAAAAGACACATTTTAAAACGACGATTAGTATTTAATCTTTTGAAAATTTGTCATACCATAACAATGATGTAATATTTTTGATGTGCTATAGATTTAGACTAGAGGCTTATGAGCAAACATGTTCGGTCGATCAGCAAACAAACAGATGCGCCGGATCGCCATCACAGTGTAGAGAATCCATACTCGGCGTATTAGGCACAATATTGCGAACCAACTGTGCGTGTAAAGACACGTCTCCGGCCAAATTCAACGACTGCATGGGATGGCAAAGAGTTTTTTGGTTCAATTCATGCGTTGGTAAGTATGTGTTGTGATATAATCATACTCGAATCTTCTACATTCGACATTTTTTTTATAACAATTCAAATACCGTTCCATTTGTTTATTAGTCGAAGCACAAAGAGATTTTCACATATCTAAAATGAAGTATTTGATGAACTCGTTAGACAAATCATCATCAACTCGACAATTAACGCCTATCGGTACCAGACGTAATCACCAACATAAGATCACCTCAACCGTTGCTGGTTTTAAGCCATCGCCAACTGAAATTGCAGTATCTGAAGCTGTTGATACAGATGTTACAACAATCAAAGTCTTGGTGGCTGGTAAAATGTTCAAACAACCTGAAAGTACAGCAATTCCAACGAGCACGCTCAGCACATCATTTATTACAACTATCACTACATCAACTACTACTACTACCACTACAACGATAGCTCCCCAGATACCTTTGCGTAAGTGAAATAAAATCATGTCGAGAAAAAAAAATTATTATAAATTATTATTTTTATATCGAAAAATAAACTAAATGAAATTTATTTCATCAAATTATACTTTTAAATAAGATGATGGTAAACTAACTTGATTAGAATTTGAAAATAAATGAATAAGTATTATATAAATAAATACATTTTTATTTTGTTATTAAAAAAAATGCCTTCAGATAAAAATTTTAGTAGTATTTGAACCAAGTCATTTATATTTCGTTATGTGATAGTTTAATGTAGTAAACGTATAAATATTAAATGTTAACTTAAAATTAACTACGCTGTATGTAATGTTTAATTTTGTTTTCAGGCGGCTGTAGCTTACAAAGATCACCGCATTACAACAAACAATTCATGTTAGAAGGCGACGTCATTAGGGTAAGTAACACTCAGTTATACACTAAGACTTTACATGAATAAAGTAAAATCTTTTGGCCCTAGAGGTTATACTCTCTAATTATTAACCACATTCAGCTAATACATTATTTCCTCCCGTACCACGAACTTGGTTTTTTCCGACGAATTTCGAGTTATTTAATATTACTGGTAAATTTTGTAAACCGTAAAATTAAGTTGTAGAGCAAACAAAATAATATACCTGTAATATCCATGTTAACGGAATATTTTATGAAAAAGTTAAAAACAAAAACGTGCACATAGATTGTGTTTTTAAAGAAACTGTGTTTTTATTAATAATTCATTCAATTTTAAATATTATTACCCCGAATGGAAATTTTCTTAAATTAGATAACTTAATTTAAAAATGTATTTTTAAATAGATTTAAAGAATTTCATGCCAACAAATATATATTTCACTTCTTTCTTACATTATTGGGAGTAATATCTCTTACCGCTATTTTAAACCAAATTTTCTATTTGTGTATTGACATAACGAAAGATTTTTACATAATGCCAACAGCTTCACAGTTTGGAAGATAATTCTTGTTCGGAGGTATGTCATTGCAAACCTGGCGAAAGCCTTACGTGTCAGACCATTTGTGTGGAAACAGAACCTTGCGAGACGGAAATCGCCTTCTATCATCATGAATCGCCAGCATACATTGCTTTCCGCGGCCGTTGTATTTGCTATGTAGGTCGTTTCATATGTATGCGACCAAAATTAGGTTAGTGAAATTTAAAATTAACTTTTTTAAAAGATGTTAACTCTAAAAAATCCATAAAAAAAGACTTATCACGAATTGTTTTTTAAACAAGTTATTAGGCGTATTAAAAAAAAATTAAATGCAATTTACATGTCTCAATAAAACATTTTTCTCAAATATTTCATAAATTAGTGAAAAAATTTCTTGCATTTTTTGTATAGCTTTCTATTTCAATAAATTATTTTCTAATACTTAATAATACCACATTCACGTATAGTCATTCAAGTAGCTAAATTGCCTATACTAAACGCCGTATCATAAAACAAATTATTGTAATTATTATACTCAGTCACTCAACTACATTTTTATTACTATGTAAATAATTAATATTTACAAATAATATTTTACCATTAAAATGTGTAGTAACTTACTCTTGTAGTAGTTTAAAAAGAACTTTGTAATTAAATAAATAAATATGAAAGGATGTTGGGTGCTTGTTTGAGCCACTTCTCTTGTTGTATTAATAATATTATTATTACTCGGGGTATGAGTACGAGGGTCTGTAAGAAAGATAGGAAAATAAAGTGATATTTATTCTATTAATATGAGATTTATTGTGATTAATTGTCAATTCATTAATATCAATAATTCCACGAGTTATTAACGGTTATCGATGATAGGTGGGATTGAGTCACCTCGTGTGTCTACCCAGAGTGGTATGGTGGCTAAACATATTAACCTCCAACCTAACTCCTGAAATAGACACGTATCAAAGATATAACTATGCCAAGTAACTCTGTACAAGCATTATCGATTTATTAAATTTACTTGGTATATTTCTTATTATTGATGATCACTTGATTTTCCTGTATGCCTACTTAATCTATGTACTCATAAAATTTAATTCTAAACCTTATTTATATTTGGTGAAATTATTAGTGTCCTATCTTGATATTTTCTCTGACACTTATAAATAAATAGATATTGTATTCTTGTACAAATATAATTGTAGAGATGGCGGATCACTTCTCGCATATATTTCGTTATGAAGATGTGGATTGATTGAGCGCAGTGAGTGTCTCTGTGAATATCGGACCGCATCTAAACGAGTGAGAGCATTCTAACCACCATCAGAGTGATATCTGAGTCAAAATGATCATTATTTTGGGCTTTTTATATTAATTTTGATGGTATTTTAAAGGCAAGAAGTGATCACCGATGCTACCATTATTTCTTTATTAATCGTAATTTATTACATTTTTATCGATAATGATCTAAATTTGATAATGTTCTACCGTTTGTTCTATAAAATCTAACACGTGTCATTTTTAATAACTTATTTTTAATAATACATTTTATAGGTACATACAGCTTGACACCGGGAGTTTTCCTATTCTTAGGTTATAGTGAGAAAGATGAATCTCTTCTGAAGAGTTTGGACATCATGCAGTTTGAAATTGGTGATCTGGTTTATTCTATACAGAAATTCATTCAAGATCATATGAAGTTCAATGTAAGTGTTAATAAATAAAATTTAAATTTGTTTTCTGTTCTCATAACAATTGCGCATATTTGTTTTTATACTAAAATTCATTAAAAACGTTTTTTTTATTCATTTTTATACATATTTTAAACAATTTTTGTTAGAAAAAAAACAGGAATCCATGCATTTAATTTGTTTCAGTCATAGCGTTATTAATCTACAATAATAAATACTCATTAATAATGAAGCATTATACAACACAACTAATTAAAACTATGTACTATAACTATAATGTCAACTCGGTAATAGATTCTACGAACAAACAAATTTATGACATACATGTTTAGAATTGTATTAAATTTCATCAAACAATATTTAATAACATAATGAATGCTTTATTGTATTATCTTTGTGTGTAAGTTTATAGCAGAGTATTAATAGTAATTATTTTACAAGCTAATAAATTGTTGAACTACAATAGAACACACCGTTCTCAAAAACTCTTTTATGGATATAGCGTAAAGTTCTATTGGTTAAAATTGTTCGAAGATTTTTGGAGTATATATATATAAATATAGTTTTAGTCCATTACTTTTCAATGAATTTTCAAAATTATTTTTCAATAATTATTTTTAATAATTGATAAAGATATTAACTTAACGATTTTAAAATAGGTTTAAAAGTCATATTTTAGAATACTTAACATAATTTTTAATAACACTTTAATAACCTCGTTTGACTACTTGGGCCAATGTTAGTATTACTTGAGCGACACTTGAACAATTACTTCAATTTTATAATACCGGTATATGTTACTTGAAAAATAAATAGTATTAGACAACAACTATTCACTAACTAACACTGTTTATTTAATTTACTTAAGGAGCTTTCAAATTTTTTCTGTTTATATAGAATTTATTATGCACTTTAAATGTAGGATATTTTTTATGTATAGAGCAAAGTGAACGAATACCAATGTAACAAATATTAGGTTAAAATACCTAAAATAATATTTTTTTATATACTCAGAGGGCATTTTCTTATACCTACTATTATAAAGATTGTTATATGAATGGTGTAAAACAAAAGAAAAGAAAAATAAGGGTAGAAATGAAGTTTTAAAATAATGTCTGTAATTTTTTCTCTCCTTCTCTTTTTGACCCTTATAAACATGAATCTAATGTGAAAAAATAAATCCAATGTGACATATGTCTTCCTTATTATCAAATGACTATCACTTTTTACATTTATCTAATCGTTTATAATGAATTCCTATTTCATTCGTACAGAATTCATATTTCAAGCGACAGAATTTTTCAAAACAATTTTTATGTACAACGACATTTTGTCCGTTTAAGAAAAACATATAGAATGTTTAGTAACTAAGAAAACAGGTCAGTGGTTACAAACAATGAGATAAATAGAAACACGCTCTATGAGAATACTCTGCACCCATATTATTATTCAACACATATATTGTCTCATGAGAATTAAGCAATTGAAAAAACTTCTAGAAATATACGTACTGAAATCTCAATGAGATATCTTCTTAATAAATTACTAAAGTATAAGCTGCGATTTTAGGAATTTGTTTTCACGCCTTATTTAACCCTAAATATAATTTAGTTGAATAACGCACGCTTTAATTAAAACGTGTACCATATGTGAACAATTTAGTTTAAACTTAAGTAATAAAGTATAATGTTCAAAATGAAACATAGGAGTGTACAAAAGTGATATTTTTTACCTCATATTAATCTATGATGTACGTTAATCTTTATGTAACATTTAAAAAAATGAAATGAAAATCCTTAAAAGAAAAATTTAATTTTGAAATTTTCATTTTATTTGACCTAAAAATAGGGAAATACAATTTGTTTTTTACATATTCCAATAAAATTATTTTTGCTACATTCCATAACTTTATTCAAAGAAAGATATAGTTTTTCTGTCAGAATCACCGATGTCGCCATTCGAAAAATTTCAAGTTGTTAAATAAAACAAATTAAAAATATTATATTATACTAAATTATTTTAATGGCTTTTTTTACTTCGACCCAATTAGTATATTTTGGTGTTATAGCCCGCATATCTATATTTGATCAAGATTAATGACTTTCACTTGTTTTATTAATGGTTTTTCACCTTAATAGTAGACCAACTGGCACTAGTTCAAAAATGAAACCCCACAACGAATATAAACTGTAGCCGAATGACTTTCATTTCTTTTTATTTACCACAAACGCTTTTCGCCGAAAGGGAGTTTATCTTCTTAAACGTAATTTCAAGAAAACGGGCATCGTTTTTTTTTTTTTTTGTACTGCAATAGACAATATACAGCACTCAAATATCAAAATGTGATACACGAATCATGTTATGCTCTGGGCATAGAAATTAAATAACTTATTTCGGGAGTACAAAAATATTTAGAATAGTCCACATGAACTATCATTATCCAAAAAATAACGTTTAAACACGTTGCAGTAAATTTGTGTTGGAATACTAAGGTGTTAATTATATTAGGTCACTTTTTTTGGCTTGCTTCAGTTTTACCCAAATAACAATATCCCGTAGATTATATTAAGTTATCGTACCTCGCCGTTTGGTGACAGAAACAGTAATTTGGGGTACAAATACGAGCAAATATATTGGAACGTTAAACATTGTACTGAATACAAACAAAAAATGTGAATTTACTGTTCAATAAGGCAAACACCGCACTCAGTTGAGTCTTTGTTCGTCGAAAACCGTAAAATTCGGGAAAATAGTAGAACATGAACGTATACTTTATTACATGTATCACCAAACCTTGACTCATTTCTTTCGCCTCAAAGACGGTACGAACCTAACTCGATTTTTTTTAACGTTCAAAATGTAAAATTACCAGTAAAAGTTCCGAAGTTATAAAATAACTCTCTGAGCGATACACGACAGTGACAAAATTATTTACTTCAAAAGGAGTTCCTTAAAAACAATAACAAAATAGATGTTTTTTCAGAAAAGCTTTTTAGGTTATTTAGTTTTGAAAATTTTATAAATAAACTAATTGTGAATGCATTTCTCCCTTTGCAATTATTTTAGGAATTTTCAATTATTATTTACCAGAATCTTGTTATGACTTTTGAAGAGTCACTGAGCATGTCATTTTTATATTTTTTAAGTATTTATTTTTGTACGAAGTTTGCTACTTTTGTTTGACTTTGAAATTACAGAAGAGCCCAAATTATTATTTAATTTAGTCAAATTTCAAGGATATATATTTACTAACTATCCAGAATAACAAATTCATTTATCACTACAACTCGCGAGGAATTAGAGTTATGCATTGTTTAGGTAAAACTAAATCTTAAAAGTTTCGTGGCAGTTTTTTTCGCAGTCAATGCGCAATAAATTTTGTTTATATAGAATACCATCTAGAATATTAATAATGCTACGCTACCAAAGAATCTATTTCTCTTTGGATGATGTTTTTGCCTTTCCAAATAAATGAATGCTATAGCAATTTTTACAGTAAGATTTTTTTTCAGACAACTTGCAAATTACATTTTCATAGTTTATCGTTCGAGAACATGATAATTAAAGGTCAAGCGTCTCCTAAACTAACACCCAACGGTGGGTATGCCAAAAACGCAGCCGATGTCCGATCTTCTGTCATTCAAGATAACGTAAGTACAATTTTATACTATTAATCGATTAGGCAAATAAATTACACATTAAAAATGAACATGAAAACTCATATTCAATATTTTAATGTGGTATTTTCATAGTCATTTTGAGATTTTATAACTTATGATACTTGGATATTACAGAGTAATCCTTATAATGTTATCAATACTTAAAAGACATTTTGATACTAAGGTTCAAAGTATCCATTGAACTGAAAATTTAAAAGAATCCTAATTTTATTTGTTTTTCCAATAGCAAACTATAAACGGCAACTTTATGTCTCCTAATTTTTTTTTTGTAGTAATTCATAAATGACCAACCAAACCACGAAAAAGTTGTCGCAAATAGCCAAAAATTATTTGTAAAGGCAGTGACTAAAAGTTCACAGTAACTTTCTTTTTCTTTTTGTGTATTGTGTTTACAGATGTTTGTTTTTTAATACAAAAGCGTGTTTCAAGTGAAAACTTAAGTAAATTACATTTTATTTTACTTTTGAGAAATGTTACTCTACTTTGTTATTCATAATGTCACTATCCTTATTATATTAGTTGACATAACCGCATATAAATGCTAGCATCCTGGAGCGATAATAAAAAAATAAACAGTAAATGATTATTCAACCGTTAACTACTATAGCCGCAGTCTTTTCACCGTGTTTATTTATCACCCGATTCAAAACTCCCTTAAATCTTATAAATTATTTTTTTCTTTCTTTTTTGAAACTTAAAATTTCTTTCTAATATTATTTGATACATTTACAATAATATTTTTCAATGAATTTCTGAAAATATTATAATTCAAACTTAATATTCGCTGAATATATTTAGTTATTATTAATAATTTGATCCAATATATAAAGACACATTTCTTGTTATTTTTTATGATTCGTAGTATCAAATAAATAATTTCACTTGAAAACAAACATTAATGTCATCCTATAAGTTTAATTAAACAAGTTTAACCAAATCAATTTATTCGATTAACATTATCCTGTAATATCTAAAACTATATTATATCTGATATTTAAATTATTAAAAAGTAAAAATGACTACGTACTCAATTTGTACTCAATTAATTATTGTGTAATTATAAAACTTTTACGCTGCCAAAATTTTTATTACTGAATATTACAAAAAAATAATTTCTAATTACTTTATTTATTTAAATTAAAAAACAGGTATGCTATATTATTAGTGGCAACTTATTTAAAACTATAGAATCTTATTATGTGTTTCATTGCAATAATCTTCTAAAGTCTAATCGTAAAGTACTTAAGTTTCATGTTGACCATAGAAAAGTATTAATAATCTTGTTAAGCTGAATTACAGTTCCATAGTGTTATAATGCCAAACTATACAGGAAGTTTTTCGTAAACTCTGGCGAGGGGTGAAGTTATTTCTCGATGCAAATTAATAAAACACGGAGCTCAAATACAATATTTTTATTGTAATCGCGTATCATTTGATTTGATAAATATATCTTTATATAATATGATAAAAATTACTATTTACCATAAAGCGTAGGGTGTCATTACATAAAATACAAACTACAATAATAATTACCTCTTAAAAAAATATATATACATATATATAAATACACTGTCGTAATCTTTAACTTCAAACGGTTATTTACAAACGGGTAAACATTTATTTAATTTGTTTCACTGGTACTGCACAGTATAATATATACAAGTTACAAAAGATAAATACAAAGAAAAAAGTCAATGAAATGACTTTATTTGTAATTGGTTTTTTTTTTAATTTATTCTTTGACCGTTTACAATAAAAAAAAATTTAATCCATGAGCTAAAAATATAAAATTCGATGAAAAAAGAACATTGTATTTATGTGATAATATTTTTTATGTTATAAATAAATAATCAAGAATGTTAACAATGATCTTAAAACTGTAACAACAAACAATTTGTATATTTTTCTTGTGATATATTTTTCTAAATTCTATACTGTTTATATACTTATGGACTAACAGTCAAATTTTTTTTATTTGTTTCAGTTGGCATGCTTTGACATACTAAAAAATTTTTCTTACATGGTTACCACTCAGGCCATACCGATAAAGACCAACATGTTTCTATCAGTACTGAAAATCGCCGAGGTTGACGTTCTCATGCCGGCTTTAAGTTCATCTTGGGGTCTGAAATCCTATCATCCTAACGACTTAGCTATTTCATTAGCGTTGGTAATTATTACCATCTTAATTGTACACCAAGTCTGAAACTAAAACAAATGAGGTTTTTACGTAATTTTTAACAACCACATAAAACTAATGGGTTTTCTACCATTATAAGAAAAACCGTGTTGTTACGGTGTCATACAAAAAGAAGGCTGAAATAATTAACTATAGTATCAAGTTGGGTTATAAAACTTATTATAAATATGTATATAAAAAAATTGTGATTATTGATAAGATATAGTCGCATACTTATTTTTAAAAGAAAATTTCAAAAAACTAGAAAAATCGTTTAACGAAGTAACGTGTTTAAAGTTTTTAGAACATACCATTAAAACACTCAAAATATAAAATTATTCCACTTCGTCTCTAAATAGTAGTGATAGAAATATTCTAATTGATTAAGCTATATTAATATGAGAGAGAGAGAGTGTTTCGTAAGAATTTTATTCAGCTTAGATGTTTACAAATAAATAGACTATTAAATCTCGAAAAAAAATTATGCTCGTGTAAAGACACTGGGTAATTTTACTGACACGTAAAAATCGTAGCACGATATTATTTTAATTATTCCAACTGCCTGGACTTTATAATTGTAACAGAAATGGATTTATATTTAATATTTTGACCCGACTGTCAAGCAGAGCACGCAAAGCGAATTTAACAACAAACTTTACTACCAAAACGTGAAGGAAAAAAACTTCGAGAAAACAATGATTATTTCTCTCCAATATCACTCTTTTCTTACTTGGTTGTATTTTTATCTGAAAATACTTTTGCATTGATTTTTTCGGGTACAATAACAACCCGGTCCCATCGTCTATCAGTAACCCTGTGTATTTGACGACAATGTAATTTGTAATATTTCATATTAATTAAAACTCTGAAACACTTAAGCTGCAACAAAGGTGACAACTTTTCAAAATCGTCATGAATTGGGCAAGTTGATGTTTGCAGTAATAAAAAAAATAGTGTTTAACGTAATTAGACAGTTGATGACTTGATCTGTAAAAATTTGTTAGTCTCTGGGGATCAACATTTAATGCGATGAGATAGGGATAACGTGGACAGAAAGTGCGATTCAGTTCAAATGCACTAAGTACCCACCGACGGTTTAACAACGAAAAACATAATATAATGATTTTCTTTTAGCCGTTCTGTATACCGTAGCAACGCCTCGTGGTCTACCGACAATATCAGCAGAAAGCACATATATTATGATCCCGACCGGTCTAGGATATTTTATGTGAGGACTTAAAACGCCGGTACATTTATATAACTATACAAGCATCATAATATTTTATCAGAGTTACGTTTATGGTGCACACATACTTTTTATAGCGCACTTGCTCGACGGAAGCATCGAACTTAAACATCCGTTTCGCACTCACTTGGCATACACAACATCAAGTACATATATTATGCACGTTCTGATAATATCACTATACATGTATGCGATAACGATAGTTTTTCCAATACCTTTGCCCCCGTTCCTGTACACACGTGTGTAAACCGATGAATATTATAACCTGCTAATATTGAATATTGTCAAACGAAAAAACATGTTAAATTTCTAAAACAAATTGTACTGAATGAATAATTTATTCATTATGCTTTGATAATTATTATTGTGGTATCTATTATTAAAGGGACATAAATGCCATTTTTTTTATACATCATAATGATTTAGTTCCATATTTTTGTTTTAAAGGTAAAACAAATGTGTTATTTTATAATTATGTATTTTTTTTTTATATACATATAATTTTAATTACCCGCTTTTTTTAGTCCGACGATAAACTAAACCCATAAAAAAAAATTAAAAAACTCATACTTATTGTAAGCATCGTAATTTCACAATAATTATTTGAATATTACTGAGAATTAATATTATATGGTACAACTTTTCGTGTACATAATATACAATAATATCATTTTATCAAGTTCCAATGAAAATTGAATTCAATAAACAACATTTCAGTATTTACTTAGATAAGGTCAATAACCTTAAATAAATGTATTAATATTTTTTTTTTTTTTGACACTTTTAACAGTTTGATTTATGCGACAATATCATTACTGTAGTAATTGCATTGATAAAATCAATAAGGTTTTTATATTATGAACAGTAACTTTTTTTCATGATTTATGGTGTTTTTAGCATGGGCAGAAATTTACAAACAACTTATACTAAAATTTCAATCAAAATATTCTCTTTCCAAACAAATTATAAAAGAATTTTTATCAGAAAAAAGTCATCAACTTTTAAATATTTGGGTGTAGTCATAAATTTTAGGGTATTATTATCAATCATTCAGGTTTAAATCCTTTAAGACCTCGCCCAGTGTTAACGGAGTGTAAGTATCTATAAATTATTTTGATAGTTCAAGTTAATCATGTTCGAAACACTCTCTCCAATTTTGTTAAAAAGTAAAATGAGTTAATTTTTTTCAAGAGTCTTTACCATATCAAAATAAATTGAAGCATATAATAATGTATACATCATAATCATATCATGTGTTAATTCATAAAACACTTTAAAATGTACTCATATCATTGGTCGAATTTCAATTTAAAAACGTATTGCCGTGCTATCTTTTTAATGTTTTAACAAATTTTATTTAGAAAATAACAGATAAGAAGTATTTTTAAAAAAATAAATACCTAAAAGTACAACATTTATATTCCATTTTTCAATTAAAATTTTTTTTTACAAAGTTTAAATAACTTTTTTATACAAGTTTTACCTAGTGAAAAAATAAAATCTATCAGCTTAAATACGAATTTCCAACTCTTTGAATGATTAATGAATTATTAATATATAAGTTTTAAAAGGAAGAAATTTTCAAAAATAATAATAAGTAGTATTTTTAACGTTATGTAATAATAATTATCTCTATTGCTTACACATAAAGACGATTATTTATCACTGCTACTAAAAACATTTCGTTATTACAAACATAAATACTTTAAATTTTTCGCCAGCTTAAACTATTTTTCAAATGAGTCATTTTCTGTAAAAAAATTTAAAGTATAAAGTTACTGAGTAAATTCTTCTAAAAAATATATCTGTCCGATATATTAAAAATAAAAGTTATAAACTATTTAAATTCTTATACTATGTATTTATTGTTATATTATATTGTACATTCTGGTATAAAATACATTAAATCGTATTATAAAGGGTAGAAAATAGTGAAACAGTTACTTTAAATTACTATAAAAGCTAATTAAATTATTAAATGTAGTATTTTTTTATAAACGAAGACATATCATGTATAGATATTTTTAAATTATATTTAAATAACATAGCGGTAAAAAAATATTAGTAATTAAAAAGGTCGTAGTTGGTTGAAATAAACCATTATCATTTAAATTTTTTTATTGAGAAAATTTTTTTCTATATATTTGGTTTCATAATAAAAGTGTTTCATTAAAAACACTTTTATTTTCATAAAAATCGATTGTTTATACATGTAAAATAATATTTGCCTTTTTTCGTGTAAAACTTTCAATAAAATAAATTTTACAATAATTTATTTACATTCTAATTTTTTAAATAAAAGAAAAAACTCAAAACATACTTATTCATTATTAAAAATATTCATTATTCAATTTTTGTTTTGATTTAAAATTACTGTCTTTGATTTTGCATAATTTGTATTCATTTTTATCTAAGAAATATCGTTTGCAATTATGTAATTAATGAAATAGAATTATTAACATTCTTTTGTGACATGCAATTAATTACCATTCACAAACAAATTAAGTACAATCGTACCTCCAAAAAATAATTTTTAAATGTATCAGAATTATTACTTTTTACGATTTAATTTGAAATCAAATAAAGAATTTGTTAAATAAAAGTGAAGTGAAATATTTTAATACATAATGAGTTAAAAACTAAAATAATTTTAGCAGGGATATATTTTAATTATTTTGTTAAAAGAAGAATACTTTATTCTGAATACAATGGAGCTATACAAAGTAAAATAAATACCAACTATTTATATCAGATACATATCAGTACATATCATAACACGCATGGTAATAACTGCTCAATATTCAGATTATGTTTATTCTTGAGTATATGTACTAATTTTTAAACTGAAAAATGCCATTAAAAAAAAATATTAGCACTATGTTTTCTTATTTAAAATAAACTCATTACCTTATGAAAATAAATACCTGCATTCATAAATAATGCGGCCAGTCAAAATAAAATAAAATAAATTTGTAATTTTCTGTAAATAATAAAATCGGCAATAAGCACCACATTTCTATATACATGTGTCTTCTTTCAATTGATCAATGACTTAAGCTTTTGTCAATATCAGCTTGAATAAAAATTCAAAATAATAAATAATTAATAATTCAAACATTCAATAATAAATTCTTCTTCTACGATTGAAGTATAATTTAAATGTAAACAAAAACAACTTAATGAGTTATTTTCGTGTCGAATATAAATAATATTTACTTACTAGTATTATCTAACGGATGGCATAATTGTTAGAATTAACTGATATATAGAATATTATTAGAATTTAATTAAGAAACAACATAAAACTTCATAGTAGAGCATAATTTTCGAATTTCTGTTGAATAGTTACATATAATTTGGGCTACCTTCAAACCAATTTAAAATTCGAAGTTTTATTGACATTATATTTCTATCGACAAACAAAACAACCTATAAAGTATAAGGGTATGTGTAAAGAGAATTATTTTGATAATGTATAATTGGAATCGTAAAAAGGCTTTTCAGGTATTCGTTTACACGCTTTCTAATGTATAATTTCAAAAATACATCTTTTCATACAATTTTTTAGAATCCTACACAGCTATAAATAAATATAAATTGTACAAAATGTTATAATAGGATCGAGAGACCCTCCAGCTCAAATGTAGATAGTCATAAAATACAGTGATGACTGAACATTTTTTATTCCTGTTAGTTAATATAATAAAATAAAATATTTTACCAAACACAAAAATTAATGGCAAAACATTTGTTATAAATACGAAAAATTCTCTACAATTTATCATACCTATGGCTACATTAGGTCAAACAAATTTCTTGCTATTATTTTTTTTTAACTGTAAATTAATATTGCGAAATTTTATGTATTGTATATCGAGTAATCTATTATCATTTTGACATTTAATAATTTGATTAATTGAAAATGTATACAACTTAGACTGGTATAAACAAATACCTTAGCAATAGGAACAAAATGATAACTACTGTAAAATTATATGTTAAATGGCAAAATGAAAATTAATTTAACAAATTAAATTTATTTGAACAATTCTGTAATTGAAATTTGATACAGGTGTATATATAAAATTTTACAACCTAATCATGTACATAAACATTTTTTTTTTTTACATTATTGTGTTGTTACTTGTATAATTAATGAAAATTTTATTTTATTTTATTACAGAATATATTATATCAAATTAATTTTAAACTATATTTTCAAAGATGACTTAATATTTCAACGTTTTCATCATAACTTTATGATCATGTTTTTTATAATTAGTATAATAATAATCTCTGCAAAATTTGACACCTATCGGTAATAATACCAATTTAATATCCAAATAGTACAAACTTTTTCTATAGAAAATGTATTAGTTACTCTCAATAACTTTTCAAATATTAATAATACAAAATATTTAATTTAATGAAGTTCAATATAAGTCATAGTTTTCTAACAATAAAAAATATTATTTTATATCAAAAGTAAAATGATTCAAGTGTTTGAATATTTTTTGAGTAGTCTTAGTAGTACTATCCTATTTCGTATTTTTTATATATTGGACGTACTATAAATGTAAACCCTGTATTTTCTATAGAGTAATCGAAATCTGGTAAAACTCAATTTCTCAGTAACTATTGAGAATATAAAACTTATGTAAAGAGAAAAAATATTAGATTCAATAAACTCTGTAATAATACATATATATATATATATATATATATATAATGTATATAGTTAAATTTTTTTTTAATGCATTCAGGGATAAAAAATCTTTATAATTTTCTTAGATAGGAAACCCACTATTATTAACATTATTATATAGTATATAATATAATAACAAAAAATTACGAACAAAGTTACTCTTACAATTTTTTTAAATATAATTTTCTACCTGATTCCATATTATATATTTTATTTTTATTATTTAAAAAGTTATAGATATATATATAGTGTTTATTAAGTAAGGAAACGAGTTTTTATTGTTTTCATTATTAATAAAACTTTAACTGTTTCCTTACTTACTGAACACCTTGTATATTATTTTATTATAGTTAAAATAAAAAATGTTTCGGACATCAAAAGAATTAAAAAATTTATTAAAAATGTTATATATAAAATATATAATATAAAAATATCAATATATATATATATATATGTACAAAGTGTTTAGTAAGTAAGGAATCAGGTAAATTGTTACAAACAACGAGAACAATAGATCTTCCTTACTTACTGAACATTCTATACTACTCACTTACTCTTTCACTTATAGACTTTGAGTCAGATCTAGATATTTGATACTTCGAGGTAAAAAAATTAATTTCTTACAGAGATAATTATAAAATAATAGAGATAAAAATAAAATTATATGCATATAGAGATTTGATTTATAGTTTTATGTTTTATGCTATATTTTTGTAAAAATATATAATAATTGAAAACAATTCAACCAACATTCCTTTCTCTGTTTTTTTTGTCTTAAATAAATCACTTATTGATTTATTTACTATTTATATGATTACCATTGTTAATATGTATACTTTTTAAAATAAAAATACGTATGTGTTGTTTATGTTAAATTTAAAATGTTATAATTAAAAAATAATAATAATTAAAAAAAAGTATAAGTATGTAAAACAAATACTTTTATTGTATTTTATCTATGAGACTATCGGATTAGGTCATAAGTGTAACAAATACATATCATTTGTATAATGATTTTTTTTTTGCGTAAGAAATATGTAATTGATAAACCTTTTATTGATTGTTTTATTTTATGCACAGGCATAACAAATAATAATAATAATTAAATGACTATTTATTAAATGTAAGATATTATCATTAGTTATAATGTTTTGTTAAATAAATGTGAAAATTATAAACAGTGTTTATGAAATATATATATGTATAAACATAGTAGTAAAAATGTTGGTTTTTATTTCAAACAAATGCTTACAATATAACTTTAAGAAAAAAAGTATTATATTTAATGAAGCANTTTTATTTCAAACAAATGCTTACAATATAACTTTAAGAAAAAAAGTATTATATTTAATGAAGCATTAAAACTTGAGCAACGACGTTGTTAAGTGTATTTTTTAGTATATTTAATAAAAAATGGGGATCGATTTATATTCAAATCCATTTTTATGGTACACACAGTGCAAAAAGTAATCGTGAATAAGCGTTGACTATATAATACACCACCAATAATTAAGAGGTTTTAAAGTGCTTCCAGATAAAAGTGTTTATTAAAAAAAATATTAAAATAAGTTGTTCTTAAATTATAATTTCAATTAATTAAATAGTAATTCCTGAAAAATGTTAATACATGTGCAATAATAAAAACGTACTAATTTTTTGTTTGATGTCTCTACTAAAATCAAACTTGGAACTATTCTTTATTAACTAGACAACATTTAACTTATCTACACCGCGCAATAAAAGTAATTAAATATTGTAACAATAAAACATAATAACAGCAGCGAGAAAGGCCTGATAGTCATATATAAATGAATAGATACTATTAGCTCATTTAAAGGCTAAATACAAAGTTCGTGTTTCAGAACATTGAAATTATTCTATCTTAAATCTGGAAAAATTAAATTAGTCTCTCACAATTTAAAAATTTTATTATTATTATTATTATTATTTATTGTATTATTTAAAATACATATAAACAGTTAATATAATAGATAAATTTTATAATATCGATTTTATAATAAAATTTGAAAATTTGCTCACATTAAGTTAGTCTAAATATTATTAATAATTTACAATAATAATAATCATAAGATACAATATGAATAATTTTTAGTTAAATAATAAGTTTTAACACCAATTTCGTTTATTTGAAATTAATCACATGAAAATAACAGAAATTAATAATGTACAAAATATTTTGTATACGGTCAGTTGCTGATTTTTTGAAGTATGAAATGTGTTTAAAACGTGTGATAAATTGCGTCACGCAATACTTAATAACTCTAAATTTAACAGCGCCACGTGTATAAAAATTGGAATAGTTGAAATAGGACAACTTAACACTTCGATCAAATTTCTATTAAAGAATAATTATAAATGTTATCACGTTCAAATAATTTAAAGACACACTTGTCCCATCTTACCTCACGTCAATAAATATTGATCAAGACGATGCCATATTATTAAATGGTACTTTTTTAGTTATATCATCATCTTATGAGAAATATCACTGACATATACTTCCATATTCCGGTCTAGAGTACTATGCTAGTGTTGATGTCCATATAAATGTACTATACCGACAGTAGAAGCCTAATATAAAATAGTAATTAATAAATATGTAAAAATAAGCAAATATTGATAACCAGTATCGGTCAGAATTGATATGATGTTGTACGTGTTTTTGTCTTATTCTTGAAATTTAAATTATTTCCTAATGTTATTGGTGGAAATTTAAAATATTGTTGATCATTTCAGTTTATAAGTTTAAAACACATTTGCTATAAAAATTGGAACATAAAAAAAAAGAATTTCGAGTACCATAGTCGATTTTTAGAGATCAATGCGTGATTCGAAAGAGAATTTTATAACCTTTTTTACAGTCACTATTACATTGATGAACACTATCACTAGGTAAGTTTATCTATTAAATTTTTGTCAAGATATAAATGTGGTCTAATGGAATTTTCTATGAAAAAAAAAGTAGCTTTTTAAATGTATAAAAACATACATTTATACTATTTAAGAATTGATTCAAATTGGAAAATTAAACATTAAATTTAATAATAATTTTCTCGTATTATTTTATTTCAATATTTTAGTTAACACAACAAGAGCACACATTAAGGATAAAGTTAATTGCCGCCTTCCTTAGACAATTGGCACAGTTGCTTAAAATTATGAATGTCTAATAAAAATTTACTTAATAAGTATTTAATTAAATAAGTTTTATTTAATTTGCTCTAAAATATGCTTAATTAAAATATATGATAAATAAAATAGTCATAAATAACCCATCCTGGAAATTTCCATATGGGTGACCTTGCATCATAACAATATAAAATATAATAATTGTAAATGCAGTGGATTAATTTCAAAGTTAAAAAATCCAAAAGAAAATTATTGCTTTGCTATTAATTATTTTTTTTTATAAATGATGAGTAAAATGAAATGATTGTCCTGTATGAGTAGAATAAGAGTATCGTGAAAAAAATTTTAAAAATTAAAACTTTAGATGTGTAATGCTGAACACGTTATACTCAGATAAAATTACCTTTATGTGGTTTAGAAGTTGCGGATAGACGGGAAATGTATTTTCAATTAAACCATTTAATTAACAGAATCAGTGAGTGAGCTCTAGGGATCGAGGAAAATGCGCGGGATGAGCGAAAAGTATAATATAATATGTGTTGTAACAATGAAAGTTAGTCTGAGAGAGATTTGACGCAAGCTGTTTTGTGGAGGATTTAACGGCCGCACGTGATTTCATTAAAGTCGACCGAAAATGAAAATGAAAAAATTACACGTACTTGTACTTGAAAAACAATGTTGATTTGAGCTGCATGGACTCTGAAGTCTATATAGGTAACATACACAATTATTGGCACCTTATGAGAATTTTAATTGTCATTACATTATATATTTTTAAAAAAAACATGCATTGGAAACTTCAAATATATTTTATTCGATTAAAAATATTATTATTTTTCTGAATATAATAAATAATTTATGTTGGTTTGATCAATTTTAGCTTGTTATTATTTTTTCACTGAATTACGTAAAATCCAAATTATTGGCACACCATAAAATTTATCCTTTATTTGTTTTTAAACATTAATATCTTATATTACGGAGTATGTTATTTAAAATTTAAAAATATATTATATATCAATTATGAAATATAATAAAACACGATATACCCAGTTAAGAGTTGTTTAGTTTGTGCAAAATTATAAAAGTCGTCTTTAGCCAAACGTTATTAAATTTTTTGTTTTATCATCTTATATTCTGAATAAAAACATAAATAAAAGAATAAAAATATTACCCGTGTAAACCATATTTTAAACTATCAAACAGTCATTTTGTTAATTCTATCATTTTCCTTTATATAAAGGAAAATTTATATAAACTAGATAAATATGTATGTGATACATATAAGATTGAACAGATCTATTTGACAACTTTTATAACTTTTGATTCAATCATCATTTTACTGGGATTTTTTTTATAATTATTATTATCGTAGACTATGTTAAGAATATATTTTTTTTATGATTTATCGTTAATAAGAACAAAAATAAACTTTTTTTTTCCAAAATAGCTAATTTTTAGCACTTCTATTACAAAAATGATTAATAGGTTTATAAAAAAATTTAGGACAATTACTCATCTAGTTCCAAGCATTTTATTAAAAAAAATTTAACAAGATGATTATTTGATTAAAAGTTATAAGAGTTGGCAATTAGACTTGGTCCACCCTAATGTACTGTTTTTTTTAATAAAATGGTTTATTTTTAAAATTGAAAAAAGTGAATTATAGATGGAAATAGTTTATTTGTTATTTTGCATCGTACAGCTACATACTGAAGCTTAAAAATTGTAAAAATTATTCATTAAAAGATGATTATTACTTAATATTTAAGTCAAATTAAAAATCATTGGAGTCAAAAACTGAAAAAACGAAGAAAAAAATCTAGCTATCATTAATATAATGAAAATTTATGTGAAATTTGTTTACTAATTAGAGTTAATTTTCAAAATCATATAATCAGTCATAGCACTATGAGTAAAAACATGCTTTGATACCAATGACTATACCAGTGCCAATAACAAGGTGTGTTACCCTAGCGACCCATTAAAATGTTTACATTCTATTTTTATCGTGAACTTAGCATCACTTAAATTAGGATAATCGAGAAATGTTTAGAATTTGTCTTTCTAAAACTTAGCTCCCTAAATATCAAAAATTATGTAATAAATCAATTGCATTATCGATTATTAAAACTAAAAACCCAATTTTTCAAATAAAAAATATAAATATTTTTCAAATAATAATATTTTAATAAAAACTAACCAAAAAAATCAGGTTGCTTAACGATATGTATTTATTCTTATATTTAAAAATGGCATTGACAATATGACTTAATACTATTATAGTGTTAAACACTGAATTATTTAAAAAATATATACATATTATCTTAGATAACGTTTTATACAATCTAAAAATAAAAAGCCTTTAATTTTCAGGTTGGATCAATCCTTAATTCAATTTTCAATATTAATTTATCTTCAATTCTTTAAATAAAATCTAATTTATGTATATATATGTATTAATATATTCATACAAATATATGAATTATCTATTTTACCATCATAGGTTTTAATATTGTGGCCAATACGAATGCGGCTACGAAGTTATAATAAAGTNATAGGTTTTAATATTGTGGCTAATTTATTTAATATTGTTTTAATATTTAATACGAATGCGGCTACGAAGTTATAATAAAGTTATTAAAACTTGAGCGGTGTATACAATAAAAAATTAGCTACAGGTATATAAAAGTTATTTATAATGTGCTTCAAATATTATATAGAAATATCAGTATCACAGTTGTTTATTGAAATCCACTTAGAGAAAATTAAGTAAAAAAAAATTATATATTAAATTGTAATAGAATAAAGTATGATGTTACAGTTATGATATTGTTGATGATAATGAAGACATGAATTAATGGCAGCACTGTCTTCATCGACCTCTAGTGTCATCATAGTTTGGCTTGAAGAATGGTTTAGGAACAATAACCGTCAGTGGAGAATAAGCCCTGTTATTAGCAGACTTCTTCTTTTCAGTGATCACAACAGTGTTGACTATCTCACAACCTTTGACAATATCATCTCCATCAGAAACCAACATACAATTTGCACCACATTGGCCTTTGCAGTCACCTCGGTCACCTTTTTGATGGCCAAGGTTACGATCATAACGACGAGAACAACAGATTGACCACGTTACGCCTTTGTTTTTACCAACTGATGACCGTACCGAAGGCAAAATAATCAGTGTAATCCCAACTAATGCCAATAACAGTATGACCATCTTTAATAGAAGTGGGCCCAAGCAAAAACACAAAAATAACAAGTTAACTAGGGATTCCGGTAACTTCTTGACCTCCTATTAATAAATAAAGTTAAATATAGCTTTAAATATATTTCAAGAATTAAAACTAAAATTAATCTTAAAGAATTGTGTGTCCATTAGAATTTTAAATCTTTCTATATACCAAATAAAAATCAAGTCAGAGTATCTTTATTTTGTTTACTAAAATGCATCTTTGATCAAATGTCTATCGCCCTTTTTATAAAAAAAAACACTCTAAATGAATACCATATCAATATTTCTCAATAAAAACTACTTAAAATTAATTTAATAACATAAAACTCAACAGAACTAATTTGTTTTAATATTTTTTATACATTATATGTCAATATAGGATTTAGTTTGACTCAATAATATTCTATTAAAATTTACATAGTCTTAGTAAACGTGTTGATACTTAAAATGTTGAATTAAATTTTAATGGTTATAACTAAATTTAAACTAAATTTATTCAATGAACTTCTGAATAACCAATAAACCATAAAAATAAGACCTCTGGATAATGCTGTTTATAATTGCTCTTTAATTTGAACCATAAAAAAACGATCATTAATAAATGCGCATAGTTATTTTTGGCTATCTAAAATAATATACGATAAAATATTTTATTCTATTAAATTTCAGTTGATATCCAAAATAATGAAATTATCAAAACTATTTGTTTTCTAAAAATTCAAATGGCAATTGTATGGTCCCCAGTGGGAGTTCATTCGGTATTCGCGGTTGACTGGCTTATTCAAAAAAAACTTACAGCTCCTATTGAAACTACAGAAATATTACTTTTTCGTCTCAGCATTTGTATTACCCGTGATCTCTCGAGAATAGTTTTCGCTTTTTTTCCAGACGTTTTGTAATAACCATATAATTTATGTAAAACAACATGCTATTAAATTTTTCTCAACTATACTTTGCTAGGAATTATCATCACATTTCATAATAACGAGTTAAATTTGACAAATTATTGGTTTTTAAACAAACTCTTATTATGATTATGTGAAAATTATGTAATAATCAAAACATTAGATGTAAATATAAAAACATTTTTAGAAGGGTTCATTTTACTATATTACATTATTAAACATTTTATTCCCTAAAGCTTAAAATATACTTCAAACTATGTGCAATTAATACAATCAGCTTAATAAGACTATAAAACACCCAAACAAAATACTAAATTATAGTGTAGAAACTTTTTTGAGACAAGTCATAACGAGTGTCTCCTTATATCCATCACACATAAAACATTAAAAAAAGAATAATTATTAATGAGGTATTGACTTGTATTATCCTATAACCGAATTATAATGAATGGGTGTATCTCTTATTACTAAAATAATATTTATATTAACTACTTTTTGTAAGCAAAATTTCGATCATAGTACATCAAACGTGAAGTAATGTTTATTAAAATGAAACAATTAAATTAATACTAAAAAAATGGTAAATAATTCTAAAATATAAGACTATATTAGATTTTTATAGAATGCTTCGCTAATTTATATAAAAAAAATACACAAAAGTACATAAAAGAGTTATACAGACTATGACCACTCTAAATTGGCAATATTGATGAAAAGCAACCTTCTTTCACTTAAACAACTAAAACTAAAACTTTTTTTTATTATGACAATTGCCGTCACAAAGCTAAAATGAGTGTTGAAAAATTAATTTTTACCTATAGAATAATTTTTTTTTAATTATATGATCTTTTTTAATAATTATTTTTTGGTAGCCTCCTCTTTTATTAAAAAATTACCGTTTAAAACAATAAAATTTTGATAAGTTGTGGTATTATACCCCATTACGACTTGATTATGATAAACAAAACTAAGTAACCACAATCTGACAAGTTTGAATAGAATGAAGATTTGCCATTTAAATAGTCGTAGCAATACAAAACTAGCCAGCATTATCGGAAAAAAATTAAGTTAAAGTAAAACTTTAGAACTTTAATTAGTAAAATACTAATTAAAGTTCTAAATTATAAACCTGAAAATCAAAACAAAATAAAATTTTAATGATACTAACTTTTAAACTAATTTGAAATTAACTTCAAATAAGCACAACGTGACAAATACGAAACTGAAATTGAATTATAGAGATTACTCTTGACATTAGTACAATTGATTACTTTTAAATAGTATTTTCGTATTTATAGGTCAGTTGTTAGGTTCAGAGGAAATTAAAAGATTAGTTTTTTTAATGACATATATTTAATAACTAGTAAACTCATTCTTTAAATTTTGTCCTAATTAAGTGATCACTTAAATTGTAATAATAATTATCAATGTCATTTACACTCCACTAAAATATTGTAGTAAACATCAAAATATGTCAAACCCAATTCTCACATTACACCGTTTGTCAAGAATGAGGTTCATTGTCTTGAATATTGACTACGTGCAACATGTCATAGCAATATTTCTAGTAATTAATTTCTAATAATAATTTGCCAAATTTCCTCAGAGCATGTTTGTGCTAAAGCATAAGTTATGTTTTCCTATAATATATTTTATAGCTGATTAGCGTAAACTTTACAACTTTGTAAATAATGCTAAGTATTATACGAAATAAGAAATAAAACTAAGAAAAACAATATGTACATAATTTATTGTGGCACACGATGTTAAAAACATTTTAAATAATTTCAAAAAGGTATAAACACTAGACAGAATAAAAAAGTCAATATTAAAATTCAACTAGTGTATTTTTTTTAAGGTGAGTGATTCGGTCTAACGTTAATTCTGTTTATTCCGACACAGGATCCCAGGAGAGGGACTATGGAAGTACAATTGTCACCCTTGTAGTTTTTCATAATAGAATACTACAAAATTTAGTAGTACGCAATTAAATTTTTATCATTATTATACTCTAATTAAATGTATTAACAAGTTTTTAAACTTACTAATAAACTAATTGAGGAATTGTATTATATATATATATACCTACATTAATAATTATTGCTTATTAATATTAAGTTGTAACTAGGAGTTAAGGAAGTTCCCATTGCTTGTACTAACGCCAATCATTTAGGCACTCTGTCAGTGCATATAATTTTTTGAGGATGACTGTTGCGATATGATAAAATCGTATTGATACTTAGAAATGACGATAAAACTAAAAGGTACTACTAAAATAAATATTTGAAATTTTCATGACGTCTTACAATAATAAAAAACTAATAATTTTTTTTCTGGCATTACAAAAAATGTACAAGATATTATATTTATTATGTACAAATAAAAATCCCGAATACACATCTTATTAAAAGAAAATATTCCAAAATTAAAAAAAATGTTTCACTAAAAAGAAACTTGAGAATAAAAACTTCAAATTATAAAAATTGTGAAGCCTAAAAGTATAAATTATATCAACTGCATAATATACTTAAAAATATTTTAAAAGTAAGCCGACACTTTTATTTAAATAGTACCAAAAGTGCTTATAAAAGTACATTTATACAGTAAAAATATTTATTCCTTCACACGAATAATAAAACTTTTAGTTAAATAAATAAAAAAGCAATGGGAAATTTAAGAAACATGTAACAATATAACCACAACATTTTTTTTTTTTAATTTTATCTCATTATATTATCAGTAGATTATACGTCTAACTTTATTGAATATAAATATTGCACCACAATCAATCTCATAAACTAACTTCTCTTTTTAGCTTAAATATTCTCGTGACTATCATAATTTTCCTTTATACAGGAGGTTTAAAAATTGAAACATATGTATAAAAAGTAGAACTTTTTCAACCTAACTTTTGAAAATATTCCAAAAATACTGTTAAATAAGTTAAAAAAATAAAATTTGTCCCGTCACCTTTTCTTCTATAGGAAAATAGCCGTCGAATTTAACGAAAATGTGATTTTTAAGTAAAAATTACTGTTTAACATGAAATATTTTAATACTAAAACTGCCATAACTTTTTGAAAAATGAACAAATTATAATAATTTTTTTTTATATTGAAATCTCTGATGTTTCTTAGATGATTATCTTTCATTTGATATAATTTTTTTAAAGATCTGACTCTAAACCTGCCCACAGGAAGGATTCGAAAAGCAATTTTTGCACTCAAGTAAAGCTTTTTTAATTAAATTTTTGAAAATATTCCGGAATATTGACACTTTTTTTTAATCTTAAATTCAATTTTATATTATATACTTAACTATAAAAAAAAAAAAAAAATTGCAATATACATTTTATTCTTAGTGAAAATGGATACCGTATTCAAAAATTTACTATTTTTGTCTTAAAATTCTAGGTTTTTTATTTTATTTTATTTTAAAATATCTTACAAGAGGAATACACTGACTTTCATGAATATTATAGAATTTAATTGACATAGAATAAAGTTCATAAAACATAAGAATTTGAACTTAATTAAATTTTTTTGCTTTTTTTAAGTCGAAAAAGTATTTTAAAATTTGAAATAGCTTAAATTGCTAATTTTATTACCTAACAGGAAACACAAGTGTTTCTGATTCGGCACACTTGTGTCTTTTACGCTTAGGGTACGAGGTTCGAATCCGTATGTTACTATTTATATTTTTCATTTTTTTTTTTGTATTAGAAAAAAAATGTGTCAAATCACTTGATTTTTATCTCATTTAGATTAAATAACTTCAATAATTAATGAGGATTCCATGACTGTAGTCTCCCCTTGTGAGAAGAAATTTCTTATTCATATTGATATTTTACTATGTGGTTTTATTTATGGCTGAGATTTATTTTCCCAACCGTCAATTAACCTACTTTTTTCAACGATACATACATCGAATGATTGCAATTCGTATTTAGTTGAAGATATTACCCTCAAAAATTGAAAAAAATCCCTTAATCAAATAAAAAGTAGCTTAGCTAACTTTATCTATACAAACTATAAAAATCATTCATTTCTAATAATTTTTAAGTATTTATTGTTGAATTAGATTTGATATGATAAAAGTATTCAACTACAAAAGTCAATAATTTTACTTTGTAATTAATTAATTTTTTAACTCTAT